CATGATCGGATATGGGTCGCATAGGGTCAAAAAAATCGGATTTGATGCGCTTTCGCTGCAGTGTGAACGCCTAAGTGCTGCAGAAGCTTCATGGCTAACCCGCAACATGATCCCTTTTTGGCATTTAAAAAATAAAACTGAAAACCATTTTTAAAAGCATGTACCATCTATTTTCTTCTGCTTATCCAATTCAGAGGGACACAGCCTGTCCCAGTACCAATTATATTTTACTGACAAGTTTGGAATTAGTAAACACACAATTTAGCAGCTTTTTCTTTTTAAATTTGCAAAAGTGTTTTTGTTTTGAATTAAATGCATATAATTGTAACTTCAAGAAGACGGGCTCATACATGGTTACGCAGGTAATAATCTCAATATACACAAAGGATCAACAAAAAACATCATAGCAATCATAAAGCAGCTCTGCGGGAGAAAAGGCAATCAGGGTTTTTTTTTTTTTCACACACCACTAAAAATAAACTTTATGACTTTCTCAAATTGGCAGTCAGCACACAGTTGTGATGATGGTCACATCGTTACCTGAGCAGAAAGGCAGCTTTTTAAAACGAAATGAGAAAGCTATCAAAGCGTAGCCACAGTAAATGCATTCGGGGTAAAACAAGAGTGACATTAACACAACATTTAACTGCTGAATGCTCTCGGCTTGTGCAATCGTGCATCTATGAGCAGAACCTTTCTCGGAGTAAACACGCAGAACAAAAGTCATTTTAAAAGCTTATTAGCTAATGGGTGAATTAGCTGTGTGAATAATAAATAAAGAGAGAAATTAACTGGAAAGCATTTTAATATGTGCCGAGCGTCATAAAAACGTTAGCACTGAAGGTGGCAGATATTTTAATTTTCAGCAAATTCTTAAATAAGTAGTGAGTTTAAGTAGAGGGATGAAAATCATGAATATTAAAACAAAAAAGTTGGAAGGAAGAAAATTTTTCTTTTCTTTTTTTTTTAATCATTTTTGAATTACTAACAACAATAGCCTCTAAACCCTGCAAGATCTTTAGTAAGACAATACAGAAGTGTTTCCCACACACATCTGAGCAATAAGATCACCACATTCTTTGTAAATGAATGGCTTGTTGTGCAACAGAAAGAAATTAAAGCTATTTTTTACTAAATTAGTAGCTTAATAATGGGATATTTTGGTAAATGCAGTAACTAAAGCACTAGAAAAACCAGCGACTCTTTTAACAAAATTGCTCTAAGTCAACAGAAAAAGCTATCTCTTTGGTAAGACATCTCTGGGAAACCTCCTCACTTCTCTGCACCCTTCCCTTTACAAGACTGGCAGATAAAATGCACCATCACCTCCAGTCCACTAGCTACTGCTGTCCTTGTGAGGGAGGCACTTCTGCCAGGGGCTGTAGGGCAACGCCAACAGCAGGAAGAGGATCCCACCCACGATGAGGACAGCCCCCGCACAGCCAATACACGATACTGACCAGGAGAGCTCATGGTGGAGAGGAACTATGTGATTGCTGGCAAGAAAAGCCAAAACAGACTGGTGGAAAACCAGGAGGGACAGGAGCACCAGAACACCTGTGATGGAGGAACCAGAACGAGCTGTGAGAGGTATAGTTTTGGATAAATTT